GCTGCGACTGCGACGCCACAGCGAATTTGAGCCCACAGTGTCCGTTCTGTCAGGTGAAAGCGTGTATCGGCTCAATTTGGACTCGTTGGAAAAGGAAAATTTGTTCAACTTCGGTCGTACTGCGGCCAACGCCACGTGTATGGACTGCTGGGGACCTCAATCCCTCGTGGTCTGTTTCTCCTCCGGCGAAGTTTCTCTTATGGACTGGCGCGATCCAAGCGGTGTGCTACTCGTAAATACATATGCGCCCCAGCGGGCCTCCGCATGTCGGACTGCCCAAGGAAGATTTCGGGCAGCTCCTCCACGCGCTGGCATCCTGTCATGCTGTGCCCTGGAGGATAGCTTTCGTGTGGTTTGTGGCCTGGGGGACTCCTGTGGAACGGTTGTAGTGACAGACTTACGCAAGGCTTTGACGACATCTCTCCGGACGAAAAAGCGTGGTAGAAGCTCACCAGCAGAGGACGCGTGGCAGGCGGTTATAGCCGGAAGCTTCTCCATTCCCACTTCTTACCCCATCAGCGACATGCGGCACTGCCGCTGGGATTTTGGAACGATAGGAATGGTTGACACGGGTGGCTCCAGTATCCTGACGTCTATTAACTCCCTGGAGGACGGGTCGATGAATGCACGAAAGAAGCAGAGTGATACTTTGCGGGGAGTCATTTCCTCCTTCCCCGCCTCTTCTTCTGGCAGCAGCGACGGCGGCGGAATACTTCCCCATGCTCGATCTCTTCGCTGCGATGTGTCGTCGGACGGCTGTTTTCTTGTAAGCACACGAGTGACGCCAGGATACACTGCGCTTTTAACGCGTCAAGGGAAAAGAGCGGATATTCAGCTAAACAGGGTGGCGCAAGAGAAACTTCGCCAAGACCCCTTTGTCTCCGTGGCGGTTTTGGGTTCAACTGTTTGTGCGCAAACAAGCTCTGGGAACGCCTTGTGCGCCACCCTCCAAGTATGATAACCGAAAGACGGTATGACACAATGGGCGAGAGGTATGTCAGGATTCCAATGCAGCAACGCACGTGTTCAATCGGTGTGTTTCTGTCGACTTGCACTCTCACTGCAGTTACTGTCTTGCCTCGCACTCGACCCGAATGATTCTTCCTCCATCGCGCAGTCAAAAGATCAACTTATTCTCTCCAAGAAATGTGCCACACACCCATTTTGTGTTCCGTCAATTTTATTTGCTTCTTTCTTCTTTGTGTAGCGCAAGGGAAGAAATTCACCCACAAAACACAAACTATACAGCTGCTTCAACAGTGGAACAGACAAAGAGAGAGAGAGAGAGAGAGAGAAAGAGAAATAAATATTAATAAAAATGTACCAACCACGCCAAACCACGTTGTTTTTCACACGAGTGATATTTCTACTGCTGTGTTGCGTCGATGTTTGTCTCGCCGCCGATCCCGCCCTTAACGCGAGTTCCCGCTGCATATTTGACGAGATAATGAAGAAATACGGCCGGCTGCCGACTGCGGTGGTGCGTGAGGTGCCGCGCCGGGGACAGGGCGCCGTGCAGGCGTACACCGCCGCCAGCGAGGATGGGGACGATCGCTGGGCTCCGATCCGCTTTAAGGTTTTTACGGAGGATCTGAAGAATCCACTGAAGTACTGCACTGCAGAGGGGCAACAAAGGTCGGACCTTCGGGGAATAATGACTATTTGTCGAAGAGAGAATATATTGACGGAGGAAAAGAAGAATATCTTTGAGTCATATGTCATTCCCAAAGCCCTTAAAATGCACTCTGATCGACTTTTTGTTAAACCCATGAGGATCAGCTTGGTTGTGCCGGATCCTGTGTATGGAATTTGCACTGAATTTACGATTCCGCGTGAACACCGGACGAAAGGGGTGCCTAATACCGACATGGTTATTTATGCCGGTGCTGCACCCGTGACTGGGGCGGCGGCGTGGGCAGGGCCGTGCCTCACATTGCGGGATGGTCGTCCATTTGTTGCTGTGTTGAACTATGATCCTCGGACCCTTCTTCGTGATGATGCGACAGTGCGCCAAACCGCACACGAGGTTGCACATGCTCTTGGATTTGGCTACGAGATAATGGAACCACTCGGTATGGTGAGCAAGGTCCCTAATGTGCGCGGCAAGGAATTTGTGACGGTTGTGAGCTCTGCAATAACGAAGGAGAAGACGCGGGAACACTACAACTGCCCTACCGCCCCGGGCATGGAGCTGGAGGACGAGGGTTATGGGGGGACAGCGGGATCCCACTGGGAACGTCGCAATGCGTTGGATGAGTTGATGGCAGGCATTTCAGGGGCTTCTCTCTACACATCACTGACAATGTCGGCTTTTGAGAGTATGGGATTTTATCGCGCCAATTGGGGGAATGGAGGAAGACATGGCCTGGGGCAGGGATGCCGGCTGCGCCCTGTTGGAAAGGAAGTGCATAGAAAACGGCGTCAGCGTCGTCCCGGACATGTTTTGCGCCAGTGCCACTCCGCCGGGTCAGTTGCTTTGCACCGCTAGCCGTCGAGGTCTTGGGTCCTGTGGCCTGTATACTTATTCCCAGAGCCTTCCTATTCATTTTCAGTACTTTTCCGATTCCAAAGCGGGGGGCGGGAATGACTATGTAGACTTTTGCCCTTATATTCACCAATTTAGCAACACTGGATGCATCGACGGTGATCCAAAAGTTATGCGCGGAAGCTACGTCGGGCCGAATTCACGGTGCGTGAAGGGCGACTCCCTTGAAATGCTGCAATATTCTGTTGGCGACATCTGCGTCGATACTGTGTGCGAGAATGGGGTAGTGAAAGTGCGTTATCTTGGTGCTGAGGCATGGGAACCATGTCCTGAGGGTGGCCACATCACTCCGAATGCGACATTTTATAAGGGTCGAATTATTTGCCCGCGAAAAGTGGATGTGTGCCCGCGACGTAAAAGTAAAGGCAATGGCTTAAAAGACAGCTGTGTGGTTGCTGCATTTGGTTTGCCTATTTCCTTTATTATTGCTCTTCTATGTGTTTTGGCCGTGATGATGTTTCCTTGAGGACATGGCGTGGGGAGTGAGAAACTGAAGCAATAAAGCTCGAACCGATGTGATTTTACTTTTCATGGGAATGCTTTAACCCTTTAAGAAGTTGTGAAAGGTATGTCCGAACCCCACGGTGCTCAGAAAGTAAATGCGATTGTTTGTCCTTTTTTTTTTTTTTTTTTTTTGTTCTGTCCTTTTTTGTTGTTGTTGTTGTTGTTGTTTTGCTATTGATTACATGGTTTTTTTGATTCCATACATGCCGTGTTGGAAGTTGGCGCGAGTTCCGTGTGATTCTCTTATTCCAACCACCATCCACGAACCTTTTTTTTTTTTTTTTCACGCAGAGGGGATTCCGGCAGTTGCGAGGTCCGAAAGGATGCCACCTTTTATGTTGAACACGAACCCGGTTATCATAACCCGTTGCCATTTGAAATTATCTGCTTTTCCTGCTTATGAGTGCGTAATATTATCTTAACTCGAGTGTGTGGGAGATGCTGGGTGCAGTGAACCAAGCTTGCATCACCCTTTATGTTTGTTTCTCTTTGTAGGAATAGGGGAAAAGTTAGTAACTGAGCGCATATTCTGTTTATGTTTTTGTTTTTTTGTGTGAGATGGAGTTTGATGTGTAGATGTCTTTCAGCTGCTGTACGCATCCGATGCTTCAGCGTGCGCCTCCTTTCTTTTTTTTTTTTTTTTTCTTTATAATGTACCCTTTTGCTTCTCCTTTAACGGCAATTTTTTTTTTTTTTTTTTCCTTGGTTTGCTTTTTTTCCTTTATATTGTTGTTCCCTTGAAGTATTATATAATATATACGACTTCTTTGTTTTGTTTTTTGTTTTTTGTTGTTGCTTTTTTTGGACGTTTTATAAAGGCAGTTTTCTTCTTTTTTTTTTTTTTATTTATTTTTTTTCAATTCCTTACGGTGTGATGATA